TCAAACGGGCAATGCTCTCTGAAACCTTATACTTCCTTAAAGTTGATGTATGCTGTGTCTCCGAAACATGCATGCAAGACTCAAGTATGGTTAGACATATCAAAATGTCAGCGACTAAATCAGCTCATTCCCATTTCTCCCTCCGTTTGTCCGGTGACCACAAGCGATGAGTCGTGGAATATACGGCGTGGGAGTTGCACTGGATTTCCATTCGACTTGGTTGACCGGTCTGTTCTCCTTGACCGGAAGGTCCGTGGTTCGAACCTTACCTCTGCCTCTCGATTTCCCCTGTCTAGCCTTGGGCAACCTGGCGGTATTCCAGCCCTCGTGTTTTCTTCGGGTGGCTTGCCAACTAGGCACCGAAAGGGTGCTACAGCTGAACGATTATCTTTTTTATTATTAATTCCCCGGAAGTTTGTGAACATAATACGTTCTGTGTATTCTCAGACTTCCGGACGTGTGACAGTATATGGAGAGCTCTCCAAATGCTTCCGTATACAAAGCGATATCCGTCAGAGGTGCCCAATCTCTCCATTCCCATTTAATCGCGTGATCGGTAAGCCAATGAGACGAGCGCTGAAAGGTCTTAGAGACTCCGGTGTTCAAGTAGCTGTTGACGAAAGCCTTGTCGCTCTGGATTATGCAGGCATCGTTCTTGCCTTCGAAGAGGAGAATGCGCGGTTGTTTTCGGATGAAGTGACACACGTCATGCCGTCCGTTGGTACGCGTGTTGCACCCACAATGTGTAAAATCATGTTTCATGATATGCAGTCATTGAACACGCCACCTGCAATCCATAGGGATGCTTTTGAAGTTGCGATACCTTGGAAGCTATATTAATTTTGACTGCACTGTGACAAATGAGGTCAATGCGTTCAGCTGTAGCACCCTTCCGGTGCCTAGCTGCCATGCCACCCGAAGGAAGCACGAGGGCTTGGATACTGCCAGGTTGCCCAAGCCTAGACAGGTTGCCCAAGCCTAGACAGTTGCCCAAGCCTAGACAGGGGGTCAATGCACAAATCTGCAAGGCTCGGGCCACGTCTGCTAATTTGAGACACTCATGACGTCAAAGCGGCATATTCCTGAATCTCAAGAGACATGTGTATCAAGCTACAGTGCAGGTTGTTTTGCTGTATGGCTGAGACTTGGATTTTTTTTAGCAGCGGAACTGAGATGCCTTCAGGTTTTCGACAATCGTTGTCTCAGAACCATCGCTCGTATGAGTTGATGTAGGAGAATACCTAACGTTGTAAGTAGAAAGCCAGTTTTCGGTTGTGCAACGGGGACTTCCATTAAAGAATGTGTTCAGCATTAGAAGCTGCGTTGGTTGGATCATAAATTACGTATGCCGAGTTATCGTTTGCCGAAGAGAGTGTTGTTTTCCATGCCTGATTCAGAATGGCAGAAGCATGGAGCTGGCCAACCCTTTCTCTGGCAGTGGGTATGAGTGATTACGAAACGTTCCGGTGCTGTGGGTGCTACTCGCCTACCAGGATGGATGGGGGAATGGCAGAAGCATGGAGCTGGCCAACCCTTTCTCTGGCAGTGGGTATGAGTGATTACGAAACGTTCCGGTGCTGTGGGTGCTACTCGCCTTCCAGGATGGGGGCCGCATGATCCCTACTGCGCCTGACTGGAGACGCTGCAAGCTATGGCTGCTAATAGATGTCACTGGCGTTCGTGTTGTCAGTTTCCATCCAGCTTGCCCGAATTGGCGTTTGTGGGTGTAGGCATCTCGGAATGATCGTAGTAAGGTGGTATGAGGTCCCTTCCTTCTCCATGCTTCATTCTTCTCTTCACAGTAAAGCTTTCAGATAAATCGTTGTTGAACGGCAACGAAACATGGGCGTTGAACGCTGATGTCATGCTATCCATGGTGATGATGATCAGTCCCAGGGCTGGACGCGCTTTGCTGGATTGGATCTTAGTTAACAGTTGTCTGTGCGCCGTCCACCGGTGCACCTCAGTGAAGCGCAATGCCCCTTGCCACGAGAAGCGGTGCCTATTTGTAATGTCGGCTTATGACCCAATCGATGCCGAGAGTTACGCAGACTTATTTCGACAAGCAAGATGCACTGGCATTTTGATCCTTACGGCGCTAAGAATGCCCAAGCCGTCGTCTGAGATCCTTGGAATCACATTTTGGCGGTCTATTTGGAATCAATGCTCACCGCACAGACAACGGAGAGCGATTCCTCCAGTTGTGTGCAGATCATAAACTGTTCCTTGCCAGCATGAGCTTACAACATAAACGTTCGCACCGTGTAACCTGACGGTCACCAACTGCAAATCAACTGTGAACCTAGTTGGATCACGTGACCATCACCCAACGATGGACAACCTTTCCCTCTGGGACATACAAATTGATTCTGATCATGCCATGGCGGTGATCCCAGGAAATCCATGGCGACGGGCAAATAGTACGATGGCACACGCTACCCCCTCAAATGCCAAACACCAAAGAGCTTAAAGAAAGACCAAGAGCCCTTGTGGACATTGAAAGCTCTGGAGATGGAGTCTTTTACTACCAGTAACAACCGTACCATATATTAAATGATACGATCGATTGGCCCTAGGAGAGGCAACGATCAGTGAAACGGTAAGTGAAAAAGGCGGCTCATTAATTTATTCGCAAAAATGTCGACTGCAAAGATGGACCGAACACTTCAGAGGACAGTTTAGTTGGTCTCCTGCAACACAGTATGTGGAGGCAATGTATACAGGCGAATGGAATGTAAACCTTAATCACTGTCAGAAGAGATACAGTAAGAAATATCCGTACTGAAACGTGAAAAGGCGCAATGACCGGACGGTCTGTATTTAGTCCTGTTCAACGAAGGCGGAGGATCCATGGCGACCCATCTGACAAGGCCTATTGGTGCGATATGGAATGGAGAGAAAGTGTCTGCAGACTGGGGCATGTTATCCTCGTCTTCGAAAAGGATATGCAGACGCTGTGTGAAAACCACTGAGGCACCAGCCTGGTAGCTGTGGCATCAAAGGTACTCTCTGGTGTTATCCTTCGAAGGCTGATTGAACATAGAAAGAGACAGATCTGTGAAAACGAAGCTCGTTTCCGTCCTGCAAGAGGATGTGTTGGTCAAACTTTCACCGTCCGACAGATTCTGGAACAGCGACACTGCTTCCAGCAAACAAAATTGTTGTTTTCTTGGACTGTGGACTGTCAGGCACTATGGCAGTGTCTATGGAGCAAGGGTATCCATCATAAATGTTCACCGCTTCTTGGGGCGCTGTACGAAGAGGAGGAAAAGGCATAAGTATTCTTGGACGAACTGACCAGTCCTCCCATCCTTTGGTATGCACTTTTCACCCACAAAGTGTAAGGTCATGCTTGTGGACGTGCAGTCACTGAACACGCCACTTACGATCCAGGGAGAGGCACTGGAAGTTGTGGAGCGTTTTACGTATCTTGGAAGTTGTATTAGTTCTGACTGTAGTGTGACAGATGAGGTGAATGCACGAATCTGCAAGGCTCGTGCCGCGTTTGCTAACTTGAGACAC